AGCTGTTCACGTTTTGCTAATTTTCAAAATGCTCTCACTTACGGTATTTTTATTTAAAAAGAAATGGAAATAAATTTAATTTGTTCATGTAGTTACTATGAAAACAACACGGTGGCAGCGGCATATGTGAACACGTGACTTAAATGTCCTGCTGTCTAGAAGTCTCAAACTTCTAGACAGCAGAGTCGCTGGACCGGTAACTTCTAAATCCACCCCAAACCCCCCCACCCCCTACAGGTTCCTTAATCTTTCCTAACAAACTTTTTGGCCCAATTTAGCTCCATATAAAATGTTCACGTGGCATCGAAATGAGTTCAGTCAGTGAGCTACAAATACAGAACATAAATGCCGTTATGTCATTTAGTTTAAATTTCTTTTAAATCATTTCAGTGTCAAAGTAAAATCCAGATTGTAACTTAGCTGCAGTGTTGTGCATGAATGCGTTCGCTGAATACGTTCCTATTTTTAGTGAACTATAAACGGATCAGTTTTAAAGTAATGAATGATTTTCACTCTGAGATAAATGAGCGACGCACACGGCTCACGTTGGCGTTCAACTGATAAAGACACTTTTCATTGGATAACATCAGATTTTATGGCAAACAGCCTGACAGAACAGCATGTGTCCTGCTAGTACCAGTCTGATCCATTCAGACTCATCTGCTGGGATCTTTGATGCCAGTTTAGTAGAGCGCTAAGCAGAGTTTGATCAACTAAGAAAGGAAAAAACTCACTTTTTAGTGCAAACTGTTCCCAGCGAGACTTAACAAACAAGTTCGTGTGTCAGACACGTTCACTTCACATTTAGTCCGGGCAGGAAGGAATAATCAATGGATCATTATTTATACCTAAAACTAATACATTCGTGGTGATTTCATGACTTTAGCGTTAATCAGTAAAAGAATAAAAAATAAATAAAAATTAAATGCGACCACTGAGTCTGGGAGCAGCCATTTTTGCCCAAATATAGTAGCCCCTCCCTCCTGCCATCTTCCGGCAGTGACGTCACGGTGCGGTAAGCCTAGCGCCATTCTCCCCGCTTTCCAAGCTAAATCAATGGGAACTACTAGACACATCTGCAATCAACAACAATTATTGAAGATTTCCAGAGGACTTCACCATTGAAATTCACCAGAGCTATAGTGAAACTGACAATGCCCACGTGCATGGCAGCTGGATGCTGGAATACATCGGGTAAAAGTGAAAAAAAGAGTTATTCCACCTTTCTGATTCCTGATCCTCCACGGACGGGTTGGTCGTTGGATCGCCAACTTGAAGAGGGAGGATTTGCCATCGAACTTCTGGCCAGAGAAAAAACCCGTAATATGTAGCCAACATTTGGAAGAAGAATGTTTTCAAGATGACTTGGATAATAGCGCGTTGTGACAAACACCAGATACAGCACTGGGACTTGATCAACAGCCGATACCGCACCGTGACGTCACTAACCAGTAGGTGGCAGTAGTGTTCTTTGACAAACATGGATGCCTCCAGTAAAGCACATTCACATGAAAATTACTCTGAATTAAAAACACTGATCATTTATTGAACAGGATGGAATCATTTCATATTTAAAGGACTTTAAGGAGTTTGAATTCTGAATATGAGCGACTTTTCCTTTAAAGCCACACCTGAAATTAAAGCTTTTCGAGCTATCTTGGGAAATATCTGCTACTGAATGAGGAACAGTAGAAATCATTTAGATCCAGATCTTTTCAGCAGAACCTGAATGTTCCTGAATGTTTCTGAAGTTCTGTGTAATTTGGTTAAATAAAAGACTTCACTGCACATCCAGTAAACCTGGACTGCATCCAGTATTTTCCGTGTCTTTCTATATATTATGATCACACAGTTAAAGGTTCTATTGTGGAGGATTGTGGCTTCATTTACCAAATGAACTTGAACTGGTTAATTTATAGGTTGGTGAACTTAGTGAGCTATAAAGGCAAGCTAGTTCATTTTCATCTATGGAAACTGAACTTTGAGCTCGTTCTTTTAAACTATGAACTGGAGCAACATTGTTGGTTTGTTTCAGGGAATTTGGTAATTTCTTGTCCTTAAAGCATCTGAAAAGCAGCAGCTTTAGGTGGAGATCAATGTCCCAATAAGTGGACGTAGCTTTGTGCTGGAACTCCAAACTTCTCCATATGAACATGTGTAATTAATCAGCCGAAAATGATATCAAGTTAATGTCTGGTTACTAACTGCCCCATGCTCCGGTAATTTCTCTAATCCTCTGTGAAATGATTCATGCTTGTTAAAGATGCACTGATGTACTTAATTAAAAGATTGATTTTGCGTGGGACATGAAAAGCGGCTGCAGATTTAATTTCCTCACCTGAGCAAAGCCTAAGATTAGCGGCGCTGTGCAGCCGAGCATTTTCCAGCTGATCCAGCTCCTCTGATGCCCCCCCCCACCGCTGCCTGGGTCCTTCTTTCAGACCAGACCCAGGAGTAATGGCGTTCCAAAGACGCCAGTTGGCAGCTTTCTTGCAGTTAGCCTTCTTAAGGATAACTCCTCCATCTGGTGAGAAGGGACGAGCCAAAGGCAACAGATGGAATTGTTTTCACAAGCTGTTTAAATATGTTGTTGATTTTTCTTTCCCTTTTAAACTTTCCAAGCAGCGATGCTGCTGGATCTGTGCTTCCTGCAGCACTGAGCCTTCTGTGAAGTGGTGCACACTTCAGACCAGTGTAATGCTGTGTGTGTTTACTCACTGATGGTGAAAAACTACTTTACTTAAATAATCGGAGTCACATTTGTCCCACAGCACCACTAGAAAACATGGCTGCTTTCTGAGCTGTGATAAAGTTCTATGAATAAACATGGTTATCCCTCCTGGATGGTGATGTCGGAGTGACTAGCTGATAAAAAGTGCTGACTAATCCTCCTTGACTTCCAAATGTTATGGAGGTGTGTGTGTAGTCCAGCTCTGTCGCTCTTTGGCATAAAGGGGGAAAGGAGTTTTTATTCAGTTTCTGAGCTGAGATATGTTGCAGGTGAAAGGCCTGTCCTGCAGGGGGAGCCTTTCCGAAACTTTGTGAGGATGTTCTGTTCAGGCTAGAGATTTGTCCCTACCCGATCCGTACCAGTGAGTACCATCTACTCAATTGCGCAACCAGATATACATCTGGGTCGCCTGAATTATAATTTTCCCTCCCTAAAAACAGTAAGCCTACTAAACTATAATGTTTTGAAGGTTAATAATGTATTTCCTGAGAAAATAAATGCCCTGAAATGCTTCATTTTCTTTATCATTTGTCTGTTTGTGATCCGTGTCGAACATTTAATCATACGCTATTTCCAGGAGCTAACTTTTTCAACTTTGGATTTTAACATAAATTTAGTCTTTTTGAGTTTTGTTTTTTCCCTTTCATGTTAACAATGCTGTGTATAGTGCGTAATCTAAAGAAAAAATAAAAAATAAAATGCAGATAAATATGATGTAATCATATTGTGTCAGACCGCTCTGAGCATGTCCCATGATGATGTCAGACAAGCAGTTTAACAGAGAAAATGTAAAAAGCATCAAATTATCACAGAAAAGTCATAACATTTTTTTTTAAAGATTTGTATTAGCGTTCTTTTGTGATTTAAGGATAGAAATAAGTACTTTTAGGACTATAATTACATTATTTATGGCAACCTGGGTGAATATCTGCCTGCACATGCCCAAATGAGCAGATGGTACGCATTGTGCTTCCGGTACAGATCGGGTAGTGACAGAATAATTCTCCTAGGAATCTGACAAGAAGTTATCTACTTAAACTACGACGTATTCATTTGTTGGTGTATTGATGGTTCCGTCTTGAACAGTTGGGAGGAACCAACCCAAACCCAGCAACAAAAGCGGTTAACCCGACCATCATCCATTAATCAGTTTAGTTCTCATAACAACTAAACAGGAAGAGAGGAGACAACTGACCCTGATTCAATTTTTAACATCAGAAGAGAAAGGATAAAATCATTGAAAATTAAATCAATAGTTTAATTTATTTGCTCTAGACCCAGAAATGTGAGTTACAGCAAAAGCCAAAAGTGGTATCTGTCATGCCAGTTTTGAAAAATTGTATATGCCAGTTGGCAACAGGCTTATGCCAGCTAGGAAACGGCTAATGCCAGTTGGAAACCACTGTATGCAGCTGGGAACTGGCTTATGCCTGTTGGGAACCGGCTTATACCAGTTGGGAACTGGCATATGCCAGTTTAGAACAGGCTTATGCCATTTGGGAACAGGCTCATGCCAGTTGGGAACCGGCTTATGCCAGTTGAAAAATGGCACATTATCCTAATGTAGTTTTATTAACAATATATTATTGGAGTCATGAAAATGTCATGTTTTATTTGTAGTTGTAAATATGTCTGTGTTGAAAAACCCAGTAAACAGTCAGACCACCAAATCTTGTCTTTGTATTTCCTTTGATAATATGACGAGATTTTCAGACAATGGCAGCATATGGTCAGAATTATAGAATGAAGTGGATTGCGAGTTATCTGCTAAGCATTAGCCTAGCCACCATCCGTACAATTCTTTGTCGTCTCTGGTTGCAAACAACAGTTTTTTTACCGCCACCTGCTGTACACACAATGCGTGTGGCTTCAGATCAATGACAATACCATTTTCATACAGTTGAAATAATGATTTTTTTTAAATCCAAACTGGCTTGGGGCTTTTGCCGGTTCCCAACTGGCATATGCCATATACCACTTTTGGCTCTAGGTGCTGATGAGATTTCACATGATAAACTTGGAAAAAGTTCAACGGCTGTAAGCTTTTCATTAATTCTCAGAAACCGTCTGTGTGTTTCATCTGGTTTCACGATTCAAATTCTAAACGTGTGAATTGTTTTTCCAGTCTGTCTTGGTTTGGAGGGTTAGTTTTTGAATATTTACATTATGAAGACTTTAGAAAGAAAAAAAGAAGTTGATATTTTCCAGTCTTAAACGAAGCATACAGGAGAGGATGCCGCTGCTAAAGGGAAATGTTTGTGCTTCACAGAGAACAAGAGGGCAGAAGAGGAAGAGAATTCCTCTGACTGAAGAACGAGAAGAGAAAGTGGAGGTGAGTCGCTTCTTCATACTGCAGGAAATGGTTTGGAAAGCCCAGTAGAGATAACCTTTTCCGATTCTATCTCTTTCTATTTGTTTTTGCATCAGACTCACTTTAAAATGGTTTCTCCCATTCATCTAATCCTCTATGTCTGCTTTCCTTTGGTGGATCTAATGGGATTGATTCCCACTGTGTCAGAAAATCGGGTTAAATACTTCACTTTTCATTCCACCTGCTCCAAGGATGTTGTTTGTTGTATTCTGAGACTCACGCCTCAATTCTTAGTGTCAACTCTGGTTCAGTAGACTCCCAGAGCAGAGGCACGGCTCGGCTGACCCTGAGGAACCGCTCCCTGCATGTCCTTGAAAAGCTGAAAGACGGAGTCAGAAAGGAGAACCATTATGAGGCTGGGATGTTCTGGAACAGTTTTTAACCCTAGTTATCCCTCAGTGCATTTTATCCCCCCACCCCCAGATCCAGATCACATTTTACTGCAGAGGCTCCAACCAGCATCCATCCAGCTCTCATTTCTAATAAGCTATGTTTCCATAGGAACCATTGCCACGGGAACGCAGACAACGCCAGACTGCAGTGCAGAAAAAGCCCAAAGCTGATGATACCAGAACCGAGTGCACGACTTGCAAAGGACCCGGCGACAATGAGAACCTAGTCAGGTAAGGTCCAACAGAACTGAAGTTTTCTAACACAACCAAAATGTTCTACTCCACAGTAAGTGGGCCTGACAGAACAAAAATGTTCTAGTCTAACAGAACCGGAATGTTCTATTAGAACCGGGTGTTCTAGTCCACAGTGAGCGGGTCTGACAGAACCGGAATGTTCTAACAGAACCGGAATGTTCTAACAAAACCCAATTGTTCTAGACTAGCAGAACCGGAATATTCTATCAGAACCGGAATGTTCTAACAGAACTGGAATGTTCTATTAGAACCAGAATGTTCTAACAAAACCCAATTGTTCTAGACTAGCAGAACCGGAATGTTCTATCAAAACCGGAATGTTCTATCAGAAACGGAATGTTCTAGTCTACAGTAAGTGGGTCTGACAAAACCAGAATGTTCTGTCAGAACCAGAATGTTCTAACAGAACCAGATTGTTCTAGTCTATCAGAACCGGAATGTTCTATCAGAACCTTAATGTTCTAATAGAACCGGAGTGTTCTAGTCCACAGTGAGTGGGTCTGACAGAACCGGAATGTTCTATCAGAACCAGAATGTTCTAACAGAACCGGATTGTTCTAGTCTAGCAGAAGCGGAATGTTCTATCAGAACCGGAATGTTCTATCAGAACCTTAATGTTCTAATAGAACTGAAGTGTTCTAGTCCACACTGAGTGGGTCTGGCAGAACCAGAATGTTCTAACAGAACCAGATTGTTCTAGTCTAGCAGAACCGGATTGTTCTAGTCTAGCAGAACTGGAATGTTCTATCAGAACCAGAATGTTCGATCAGAACCGGATTGTTCTATCGAACCGGTGTGTTGTAGTCCACAGTGAGTGGGTCTGACAGAACCGGAATGTTCTATCAGAACCAGATTGTTCTAGTCTAGCAGAACCGGATTGTTCTAGTCTAGCAGAACCGGAATGTTCTATCAGAACCAGAATGTTCGATCAGAACCGGATTGTTCTATCGAACCGGTGTGTTGTAGTCCACAGTGAGTGGGTCTGACAGAACCGGAATGTTCTATCAGAACCAGAATGTTCGATCAGAACCGGATTGTTCTATCGAACCGGTGTGTTGTAGTCCACAGTGAGTGGGTCTGACAGAACCGGAATGTTCTATCAGAACCAGAATGTTCGATCAGAACCGGATTGTTCTATCGAACCGGTGTGTTGTAGTCCACAGTGAGTGGGTCTGACAGAACCGGAATGTTCTATCAGAACCAGAATGTTCGATCAGAACCGGATTGTTCTATCGAACCGGTGTGTTGTAGTCCACAGTGAGTGGGACTGACAGAACCGGAATGTTCTATGAGAACCAGAATGTTCTGGTCCACGGTGTGTAGTGGGTAATGTGTATCTATTCATTAGTCCGTAGTTCTGCAGGTGGAGCCATGTCCTCCTGATGATTAAAGTTCAGTTTTCATTAGACTCTGGCTGCTCGGGCTGATCAGACGGGGGGGCTGAGGTCGTCCTCTCCTCAGGCCCCTATATTGACCTGCCACATATATTTGCTCACTTCAGTAGGCTGTAATGAAAAGCACAATTAATTTCCCTCCTTTCTTTGGGTTTTAGGCGCCTGGCATCTAATCAACACGATTCCTCTTTGTGTCCTTTGAGAGGCAGCAGATGCCTTGATAGCGCATTGTCATGTAATGACCGTTTTAGATCCCAAACCTAACAGCAGACTCTGGGCTGAGCAGACGCAGTCTTTCACCAGCTAAAGTGTTGCACAGATCATTGTGTGTTTTTCTTTTTATTACCACCATTTGTTTCCTTTATCAAACGGCAGCAGAGCCTTCTAATGACCAGCTCGTACTTCCCAAAGTTTTCCGTGCACCCTACTTGGTTCTAGCTTCTGCTCCTTTGATTAAGAACCAATCAAGCTGATTTAACGTCTCTTTAGGTTTGAAATGTATGTAAATAATTTCCATTCAATTCCAACAAAATTGAAAAGACAATCAAGTGACAGTAAACAAAGGGTTTCAGGTCTCAGAACATATCCAAATCATTTAATCTAATGTCAAGGGTTCTTCAAAACTAATGCGCTTGATTTATTCATTCAGTACTAAGGCAAAAGCTCTGACATTAGTAAACAAAACATGATCTAAAAAACCAATTTACCTTTAAAAGTAGAATGACATGTTTTTTGTTAGCATGATCTGATTCTATTTAAAATCGAATTGACATAAAATGTAGTATACGAAAACTCAAAGGAGCCTGAGCTGGTGCAGGAGGTGAAGTGATACCAGTTAGTAACAGTCGGGCTTTCCTCCACACGTTACCTGGTCTCTGGAAACGAGCTCCTTGAGAGGCTGGGCTCTTCTATTCCGGAGTGGCCCATGGAGAGAGTGAGGCTGGGGGTGGATCTTGGTTTACCCCGCTGGACGAGAGGGTCACAATCATTCGGATGGGTGAGAGGTCAAACGGAGGAAGCTGGACAGACTGGCAAGCCCAAGCAAGTACTGAGGGTCTGCTGGGAATATCTGGTTAACCCCTCGGTCAGAGACGTATTCAACTCTCACCTCCAGGAAAGCTTCTCCCAGATTCTGGGGGAAGCTTCAGATATGGGGTCTGAGGCCATAAGGTCTGCACTGCCCATCATGGTGCCAATCCCCTAACCTGGTGGTGAGCACCAAATGTAAGGGATGCTGTCAAGCTGAGGAAGGAGTCTTATCAAGCCTGGTTTGCTAGTAGGACTCCTGTAGCAGCAATCAGGTATCCTGAGGCCAAGCTTGCCACTGCCTGGGCGGTTGCCGGGGCAAAAACTCAAGCTTGGGAGGATTTTGAAGAGGCCATGGAGAAAGAGTATCGGCTGGCCTCAAAGTGATTGTGGTAATCTCTGGAGGGGGAGGCGGTGCTTTGCTAACACTGTTGTCAGTGGGAATAAGGAGCTGCAGACTTTGAAAGAGGACATTGTTTGGCAGTGGAAGGAATAGTTTGAGGATCTCCAGCTGGCACGCCCTCTGTGGTGAAAGAAGAAATGGGTTGTTCGGCTGGATTCATTCATCACACTGAAATCACAGAGGTGGTCACAAACATCTAGGATGGCAAGGCTTCGGGGATGGATGAGATCCACCCAGAGTACCTCAGGACTCTGGATGTTGCCAGGCTGTCATGCCTGACATGCCTCTTAAAGAGTCCACGGTCATGGACAGTGCCACTGAATTTGCAGACTGGGCCTGTAAGTTAGAGTTAGTTCCCCTACATAAGAAGGGCCACTGGAGGGTGCGTTCCTACTATAGGGGAATCACACCCCAGCCTCCCCGGGAAGGCCTAGGCCTTCAGGGTGCTGGAGAGGAGAGTCCGGCTGATGATCGAACCTTGTCTTCAGAAGGAGCAGTGCGGTTTTTGTCCTTGGAACAGTGGACCAGCTCTACACTCTCCGCAGGTTTCTTGAGGATGCTTTGGAGTTTGGGAACAGCCTTGTGTTTTGAAGGCATTCAACCATGTCCCTCGTGATGCTGCGGGGTGCACTTCAGGAGTACGGTGTTGGGGGCCCTTTAAAAGGGGCCATGCAGTCTCTTTGCAAGCAGAGCAGGAGTTTGGTTAGCATTGCCACCATTAAGTCAGACCTGATCTTGGTGCATGTTGGAACCCAGCAAGGCTGCCCTCTGTTACAGGTCCTGTTCATAACTTCTATGGACAGGATTTCCCGATGGGGTATAGTTTGTGGACCGGCAGATATCGTCCCTGCCATTTTTAGATGATGTGCTCCTGCTTGCTCCCTTCTGCCAAGACCCACAGCAGTGCAATGGGTTGGTTCACAGCCAAGTATGAAGCAGCCAGGATGAGAATCAGCTCCTCCAACTCAGAGGCCATGGGTTTGGTTCTTGACCGGAATAATGTGACTTGTCCTATTCAGGTTGGAGGAGAGTTCTTGCCTGCTCACAGCTGATAGACGGATCGATGCGGCTGCTGCTATAATGCAGGCCCTGCACTAGTCTGTCGTGGTGAGTGGAAAGGCAAAGCTCTCAATTTACCGGTGGTTTATGTTTCTTACCTCACCTACGGTCATGAAATCTGGATCATGATCGAAAGAATGAGATCCTTGATCCAGGTGCCTGAAATAAGCTTTCTCAGCAAGTTTGCTGGCCCCTCCTTTAGATATAGGATGAGGAGCTCAGTCATTGGGGAGAGGCTCATAGTAGAGCCACTTCTCCATGGAGATAAGACACCTTAGTAGGCTCAGACATCTTTGTCGGATTTCCACGGGACGCCTCCCTCGGGAGGTGTTCTAGGCACTCCCCACTGCGAGGAGACTCAGAGGACCATGGAGGGACTGTACAGGTGCTGGTCATAAAATTAGAATATCATGAAAAAGTAGATTGATTTCAGTAATTCCATTTAAAAAGTGAAACTTGTATATTATATTCATACATTACATACAAACTCATATATTTCAGATGTTTATTTTGTTTAATTTTGATGATTACAAATGACAACAAATGAAAATCTCAAATTCATCATATCAGAAAATTAGAATATTACTGAAGACCAATAAAAACAAAGGATTTATAGAAATGTTGGCCAACTGAAAAGTATGAACATGAAAAGTATGAGCATGTACAGCACTCAGTATTTAGTTGGGCCTCCTTTGGCCTGTATTACTGCAGCAATGCGGCGTGGCATGGAGTCGATCAGTCTGTGGCACTGCTCAGGTGTTATGATAGCCCAGGTTGCTCTAATAGTGGCTTTTAGCTCTTCTGAATTGTTGGGTCTGGTGTATTGCATCTTCTTCTTCACAATACCCCATAGATTTTCTATGGGGTTAAGGTCAGGAGAGTTTGCTGGCCAATTAAGAACAGGGATACCATGGTCCTTCAACCAGGTACTGGTAGCTTTGGCACTGTGTGCAGGTGCCAAGTCCTGTTGGAAAATGAAATCTGCATCTCCAAAAAGTTGGTCAGCTGCAGGAAGCATGAAGTGCTCTAAAACTTCCTGGTATGTGGCTGCGTTGACCCTGGACCTCAGAAAACACAATGGACCAACACCAGCAGATGACATGGCACCCCAAACCATCACTGACTGTGGAAACTTTACACTGGACTTCAAGCAACGTGGATGAAGTGCCTCTCTTCTTTTCCTCCAGACTCTGGGACCTTGATTTCCAAAGGAAATGCAAAATTTACTTTCATCAGAGAACATGACTTTGGACCACTCACCAGCAGTCCAGTCCTGTTTCTCTTTAGCCCAGGCAAGACGCTTCTGACGCTGTCTGTGGTTCAAGAGTGGCTTGACACAAGGAATGCGACAGCAGAAACCCATGTCTTTCATACGTCTGTGTGTGGTGGTTCTTGAAGCACTCACTCCAGCTGCAGTCCACTCTTTGTGAATCTCCCCCACATTTTTGAATGGGTTTTGTTTCACAATCCTCTCCAGGGTGCGGTTATCTCTCTTGCTTGTACACTTTTTTCGACCACATCTTTTCCTTCCCTTCGCCTCTCTATTAATGTGCTTGGACACTGAGCTCTGTGAACAGCCAGCCTCTTTAGCGATGACCTTTTGTGTCTTGCCCTCCTTGTGCAAGGTGTCGATGGTCGTCTTTTGGACAACTGTCAAGTCAGCAGTCTTCCCCATGATTGTGTAGCCTATAGAACTAGACTGAAAGACCATTTAAAGGCTTTTGCAGGTGGTTTGAGTTAATTAGCTGATTAGAGTGTGGCACCAGGGGCCATCAATTTTGAACCTTTTCACAATATTCTAATTTTCTGATATGATGAATTTGAGATTTTCATTTGTTGTCATTTGTAATCATCAAAATTAAACAAAATAAACATCTGAAATATATGAGTTTGTATGTAATGTATGAATATAATATACAAGTTTCACTTTTTAAATGGAATTACTGAAATCAATCTACTTTTTCATGATATTCTAATTTTATGACCAGCACCTGTATCTCTAGGATAGCCTTAAGGCATGTCTGGCTTCTCCCTGTAGAGCTGGAGACGCTGTCTGGGGAGAGGAGGATTTAGGAGTGTCTGCTGAGAGTCACATGAAGTGCACTTTAATGGCCAGTTGTTACAAATGTCAACATCAAGACTAAAAAACTAAACTGTTAAAAAAGTAATCCATGCCACTTGAGTAAAACTTATAAACAACACCTGATAGCCTCTTCATAGCATAGCTGTCTGCAGTGTAATGCAAAGTTCCCCCTCTGCCTGGTGATTTATGTTAAGTGATTTTGATTCAGGATTAATAAAATTCAGGGTGCTAAGACACTTTTAGGACAGATTCATGCTCCCTCAGAACGGCATGGTTCAGTTAACAGACTTGGTGCGCTAGCTATAGCGGCTAATGGGGGATGTCCTATGCAGTTATATATAGCCGGTGGTTAAAGGTACACTATGCAACCGGTGTTGATTTTCCAGCAAGGCTCCCCCCAGAGGGCGAAAGTAAAAGTGCACTGTCGTAAATATGCTCAGCTGTTCTCCTGGTTTCTCCGTCAAACCAGGCGCGGTTGTTTTGAGCTTAGCAGACAGGCGAACGCAACGATGTCTACTGCGGTATGTGACTAGCCATCGCTTATAACTTCAGCAAAGAGAAATAAATGTTCATATACAAAGTCATAATACTAACAATGACACTTTTTTGGTCGGGGACTCATTTAGATAAAGGAAGAGGGACCATGCATTCCGTGGTTGACAATATATCACAGTCAGAAAAAAACGCTTCTAGGATCGTCAGTAAACGCTAGTTTATACATAACGTTACTAGCTTCGTGAGGTTTATGGCTAACAAACGCGACTACATTTTGTACTGGTTTCAGATTTATGCAGCTCATTGCAAAAAGCGATTCAAACCCAATCTGCGCAAAATAAGGAATTCAGTAAAGTAAATACACAGTCTTAGGATACTTCACATGTGAAGCAAGTTTGCCAAATAGCAAGCAATGCAGTTATCACCTACCACAAAAACAATGTTTAGGCAGCAAGCTAACTAACTTGCTAAACATCCCGCTAGCTACTTAGCTACTCAGCAACAGACCACGATCATACAAAAGTTGAAAAAAAGGCAGTACAAACAATGACTAACGCAGTGAAAGTATGAACATGCACACAGAGAGAGAGAAACCATTCCAAAGTTACTTACAATCGCATCAGCAGAAACGCGAGGTCGGCGTCACACTTACAGCCCTCTTTTTCTTTTAGCTCTCGCCATTCGGAAAAAGCTTGCCCGATGTTCACCCGTGTACGACTCCTCTCTCTGTCCAGAGCCCTTTCCTCTTTCTTGACTGCTCCGACATGGGCTTTCGCTGTTTCCTCGCTGGTTCCGACATGATAACTGCACAAATATCGCCACTGTGCTAGCAACGAGCATGCTTTTAACTGGGGGCGTGTAGCAGTTCTCGCCGTAAAGCAAGACCGACTCTCGCGAGACTTCTGAGCCTGTGGGTGCGGGCCGAGGGCTCCTGCAATTGCAAGTGCGGTATTTCCCCCACAGACCACCAGGGCGGCCGAGAATACCTTTGTTCGACCTGAAATTACTCATTTAATCATCCAAAACGTTATGGAACACATTAATTAACTGAAAAATGTTGCATAGTGTGCCTTTAAAGTACAAAATGTATTCAAATTCTAGATTGGAACAAATGTCAGTGAAGGCTGCACCAGCAATGTATATCAACTGTCGGCGATGGTGGTGCTCTTGAGGCTCTGGGCTGGCTTAGTGAGGGTCACTACCCGATCTGTCCCGGAAGCATGAGCTGTCCTGCGCAAACAGATATATATCTGGGTGTCTATAAACAATGTAAGCAACTCACTAAAGAATGCTAATGTACTTTAAAAAGGGTTTTATGACTTTGTGAGAGAATTTTGATGCTTTTTCCATTTTCTTTGTTAAACTGCTTCTCTGACGTCATCATGGGTCATGCTCAGAGCAGTCCGGCTAAATTTGACTAAATCGTGTTTAGCTGTATTTTAGTTGTTTCTTTCTCTAGATTATGCACTATATACCATAATGTTAGCACGAAAGGAAAACAAAACTAAAAAAAAAACTAGATTTATGTTTAAACCCAAAGCTAAACGTTAGCTCCCGGAAGTAGCGTAGGATCCTATTTCTGGTGCAGATCGGGAAAATTACTCTCCTAATAAGATAATTTCATAATATGCACTAAGAGCAGGCAGATAATTTTTTTTTTCTTGTTTTAAATATAAATCATCTTTTTCATTTGGCAAAGTGTCTCACTTTGATGCACTTATTTTAAAAGAAAATGAATTATTCAATTTCGCCTTTATGCAGTGAACCGAATATTTGGCACTTGCAGGCTGTCCTCAAAAACGGTCATGTGACCCAGAGCGTCGCTCTCCGTCAGTCTGAGCTCTCCTTAAACATCAGAGCTAGCTAAGCTAACAGCTGTTGTTAGCTCTTAGCTAACATCTTCCAACCAGAGCTAGCTAAGCTAACAGCTTTTGTTAGCTCTTAGCTAACATCTTCCAACCAGGAAGCACGATCCTTCCTGCGCGAACAGAATAACTTCCGGATAGGCAATACTTCCTTTTCGTACTTTTTGATTCTTTTGTCTTTTCCGGTGGGGGTTTCTTTTTGAACATTTTTGTATTTGCGTAAATATTGCATATTCTAAAAACAAAAAAAGGGCATACATAAATAAACAGTTAAATAGCCTTTGGAACGTTACTGTGACCGCTCTGAGCATGTCTAATGATGACGTCACGCAATGCAATGTAGAGAAGGTAAAACGTTTCCATTACTTCCAGAAAAGTCTTCAATATATTCTATTTGATTGTAGTTTAGCATTCTTTAATGTTTTAAGTCCATAAATAAGTGTTTTCAGTACCGCTATTACTTAGTTTTCAGCAACCCGGATCTTATTATTCTGGTCCCGCATGCGCAGGACGGATCGGGTAGTGACGGTCCTTTAGCAGAAACTCCAGGGCTTGTAGACCGGCCGGTCCAAACTGCTCTGATAGCAGAACCAGAACACTGAATGGTTCATTTAGACAGTGCAGGGCAGCCATAGGCCTGCCAGGGGGCGCTAACTCTGGAGGTTACAGGTATAGCACCCCTAGTGGCTAATCGTAATGCTGTGAAATAACGTGAAGAAAGTTCTGTCGTATATTTCCTGTCGGGAAAAGGACTATTTATCTGACATCAGTAGCACATATCGTGTTTTACGTTTACCACACAACGCTTCAACGCTGCAAAACATGAGAATCCTCCCTGCAAAGGAAGCAGAACCAGAAGTAGCTCCTCCATTCAGATGTTTTATTCTAAACTTTTTTCCATCGCCAACCATCTTTTCTTTTTCATGTTCTGTGTTCCATCATTTGGCTCATGGTTTAAAGATGGAAGCGAAGAAGACGACGCTCCTTCCATCCAAACCAGCAGATGTTCTGGTGTCTGATTGTGTGTTGATGAATGCTCCGGGGTTCTGGGTTCTGGTCGGGGTGTGAGGTGTGCTGCCCTGACTCTTTCTATCTTTGCATTGCACAGGTTGTGAGAGCCGGGGCAGCCACCTCACCTCCCTCCCATAAAATGTCGGGCCTGACGACCGTTGGCTTAGAGACAAATCGGAGAACGACATCTTCTCATCGCTCGGCAGCCAAGTCAGAACCCAACGGGACGGCAGCCGTCCAACCGACTGTTTGGACGCTTGTTTTTCCTCTGAACCTTTAACATACGGACTGTTCATTGGTGGATTATTGTGTGCATCACTAGGTAGTTCTTTCTGTACAGTTTATGTCCAAATAAGTTTTTTTTATTGATTTACTTCATTCTGTTTATAAAAGACAGCAGGAAAATCTGGTATGTTTTGGAAGTTGGTGGTGTATTTTTCCAGGTTCTCCATGTTTCCCCTTCAAACTGATCGTCTTCCAGGTTTTTCTGCCTTTCTTTCCGTCTGACCTGCTAATCAGTTCTAATCACGACCATTGATTGAACTCAGACGCCAATCACCCGTAGCAACCCAGCACGAGTGATTGGACGGCCTTAGGGAGGCTTTCAGACGTCTGGTTTGAAGTGTGAAGACCAGAAGTAATGAGGAAACATCCCTGTTTGCTAAAGCACTGAAATAATGCTCCTGTAATAGAAACTGACTTGTTGTTCTTAGATCTTAGCCTGAATGTGTTTACACTGAAAAAAAAGGACGTCAGCTGTTCGTTTCTTTACCTTGTGTTTAGCAGATAGGTCAGTTTGCATGTGGAAACGAAGATTTATGATTAAAATAAGAAAAAAAATTGAATTATCTCATTTTAAAGGCAACCAAAATCCTTGGATTGGTGCATCGTCTTTTTTACTGCTCAGATTTGGGGAAAATAAATATTTGAAGAAATCTATACTTATCTGTAGATCAAGTTTTTTGCAGTGTAGAGTAATAAAACCAGAACTCTGCAAAAATCAAAGAGAGAAGTGAAGATTTGTGAAATGAGTCCTAAATGTGAGCAGTTAGATGGATGATCTGCCCCTAGAGTGATGAAGATATGAAGCACTTCAAACCGGAGTTCTTTTTTTTTTATTTGAAACATAAATAATTGATTTATGGAAAATCTGCCTTTATTTGGATCCTGTTGATTTTCTGCAGTGAAGAAGTCTTCCGTTGTCTCGGTGTGTTGATGTGATGCTTTAACTGACGCGTCCCCGCTGCGCCGCGGTCTGCCCGCTGCCCTGACCTCCGTCACATCTTGGCCTCTCATGTCAGGCGGCTGCCCGTCCCGGAGCCGCCAGGGAGCCGCCCCCAGTCCGCGGAGCGGAAGGACGCTGTCATGTTTCAGCTTTAACCTGCATGGCCACGTGTTTGCATAGTTTAGGTGGATGTTAGACTCAGTGACGTGTTCTCCTGAATGTGTGACGATGTGTACAGTATTTATTGAAGCGTCTCAGTCCTGTGCAGCTTATTAAACGGTGACGGTACCCGCTGCTGTGATGTTACTCACTTTTATTTGCCAAATGTTGGTTTGCGGCGACGCCTCCTGATTTCTGCTCCACCGTGCATCAAACGTTGCTTCTGTGTCTTTGTTTCTGGCCTTTAGCTCTTGGAAATGAAGTGCAGCTTTAATAAACTCTTGATTTTTTTTCACCTTATTGCTGCGGTGATAAATGAGTGTCAGACAGCTAATTAATTGTTCTAAAGGTGCGGCAGCGGCGGTCCGTTTGTGCGTGTAATGCCCCCTGTCAGCAGTGATTTATCACCTGGGAAGTGGCCCCTCTTGTTTTCACATGGACGGGGGGGGGGGGGGGGGGGGGGGGGGGGGGGGGGCTTCTTCTCAACCCACAGAGTGGAGTCTGGAATAAATCTGCAAACAAGAAGCTGTGTTTGAAATAAAGGGGAATAAGTTCAATGCATTTCTGCCTTCATTTACCATGAAGTCCATCTGGGATCATTCCTGTTTCCAACGAGAACGCAGAACCACTGGGGGTGGGGTGGGGGGGGGGATGCGCACAGTGTGGGCAGCAGCATCAGCTGCACTTTTTAAGCCTCTGGTCAGAATGAACAGCTGCAGGAAGGAAATGATCTTGGAAGAAATTATAAATGATCTGAGTTGCTTTGTAAGTAACTTAGAACTTGGTAAATAATTCCAAAAAAGTAAGAAAAAAAAAAAAAAATCAATCCTCTGGACTTTGTCTCCAAGTTTGTAGACGTTTCTCTTCCATCCAGGAAGCTTTTTCAATTCAAAATGTCAGAAATAGCGTTTAGTTCCAGGTTTTATCCAGCAGCCCAACAAAGCCTGGTTTTAGTTTAGAAAACATGCTTCTGAAAATAACAGAAACAAAACTACTACAATATAAAGAATAATTTTACTTTGCAGGCCAATATGCTCCGCTCTCACTTTCTGCTCAAATGAATCCCAGTTTATTACAGGATGTTAGAAAAGCCGCAGCAGAAGTAAAATCTCGCTCACCAGGTGGCCCCTGACCCAAATCCCATTATTTTGCCCATATTGACCTGGATCTGATCTTTTCATGGCAGTCTGAACGACACAGATCTGATTCTTTCCAATGCGACCCAGGCTGCTTGGCTCTGTGGTCCTGAATCCGATCCAAATCTGATCTTTTCAAATGTGACCTGTGTCTGAACAGCCAGATCGTATTCATCTGACCTCAATGTCATTAGTAACTGACAGTGGTCACTCTTCTGCTTCTTGATATGCAGAAGTGGCAAGAAAAACAACAGCAATGGTGGACGATGATGTGGAGAGCAGTATTTCAGTATTTATTTTTAAGCATCTTAGAAAGTTTGAGTTTTTAAGGTTGGCTAAGATCACTAGATGAGCTCCAACGCTACCATCCATGTTTACTTCTTTAAACACAGACCACGCTGGCTTCTGACATCATGGCGTCCTCTACTGCGCATGCGGGACACTTAGGTTGTATAAATGCAGTTCACACAGGAGATCACATACAAGACGCATACAGGTGCTGGTCATAAAATTAGAATATCATGAAAAAGTAGATTGATTTCAGTAATTCCATTTAAAAAGTGAAACTTGTATATTATATTCATACATTACATACAAACTCATATATTTCAGATGTTTATTTTGTTTAATTTTGATGATTACAAATGACAACAAATGAAAATCTCAAATTCATCATATCAGAAAATTAGAATATTGTGAAAAGGTTCAAAATTGATGGCCCCTGGTGCCACACTCTAATCAGCTAATTAACTCAAACCACCTGCAAAAGCCTTTAAATGGTCTTTCAGTCTAGTTCTATAGGCTACACAATCATGGGGAAGACTGCTGACTTGACAGTTGTCCAAAAGACGACCATCGACACCTTGCACAAGGAGGGCAAGACACAAAAGGTCATCGCTAAAGAGGCTGGCTGTTCACAGAGCTCAGTGTCCAAGCACATTAATAGAGAGGCGAAGGGAAGGAAAAGATGTGGTCGAAAAAAGTGTACAAGCAAGAGAGATAACCGCACCCTGGAGAGGATTGTGAAACAAAACCCATTCAAAAATGTGGGGGAGATTCACAAAGAGTGGACTGCAGCTGGAGTGAGTGCTTCAAGAACCACCACACACAGACGTATGAAAGACATGGGTTTCTGCTGTCGCATTCCTTGTGTCAAGCCACTCTTGAACCACAGACAGCGTCAGAAGCGTCTTGCCTGGGCTAAAGAGAAACAGGACTGGACTGCTGGTGAGTGGTCCAAAGTCATGTTCTCTGATGAAAGTAAATTTAGCATTTCCTTTGGAAATCAAGGTCCCAGAGTCTGGAGGAAAAGAAGAGAGGCACTTCATCCACGTTGCTTGAAGTCCAGTGTAAAGTTTCCACAGTCAGTGATGGTTTGGGGTGCCATGTCATCTGCTGGTGTTGGTCCATTGTGTTTTCTGAGGTCCAGGGTCAACGCAGCCACATACCAGGAAGTTTTAGAGCACTTCATGCTTCCTGCAGCTGACCAACTTTTTGGAGATGCAGATTTCATTTTCCAACAGGACTTGGCACCTGCACACAGTGCCAAAGCTACCAGTACCTGGTTGAAGGACCATGGTATCCCTGTTCTTAATTGGCCAGCAAACTCTCCTGACCTTAACCCCATAGAAAATCTATGGGGTATTGTGAAGAAGAAGATGCAATACACCAGACCCAACAATTCAGAAGAGCTAAAAGCCACTATTAGAGCAACCTGGGCTATCATAACACCTGAGCAGTGCCACAGACTGATCGACTCCATGCCACGCCGCATTGCTGCAGTAATACAGGCCAAAGGAGGCCCAACTAAATACTGAGTGCTGTACATGCTCATACTTTTCATGTTCATACTTTTCAGTTGGCCAACATTTCTATAAATCCTTTGTTTTTATTGGTCTTCAGTAATATTCTAATTTTCTGATATGATGAATTTGAGATTTTCATTTGTTGTCATTTGTAATCATCAAAATTAAACAAAATAAACATCTGAAATATATGAGTTTGTATGTAATGTATGAATATAATATACAAGTTTCACTTTTTAAATGGAATTACTGAAATCAATCTACTTTTTCATGATATTCTAATTTTATGACCAGCACCTGTATATTTGGAAATATGAACGGCAACGCAAAGAAATGGGAATTGAGCATCAAGGCCTGCAGTTTGAACATAGCCTAAACATCAGCATAGAAAATCCAGAATAGATCAAACATCCAAATAGGAGGCAGAAGAGTCTGATTCAGCAGAACCAAAAGTTATCAATGTTTTCAAGCACGGGCGGATTGAGGAAATGTGGGGCCCTAGGCAAAGACAGGCAGGGGGCCCTCTGAATGGAGAAGACAACCAATAAAACAGCCCCATTCTCCAGATAGAGAAATGTTAATAGAATAGACATCCATTATCTGTTCTAGGTTGTGTCCCTCTCTTCTTGTCCCTTTTCTTCTTGTTTTCCTCTCTATGTTTTGTACTCAGCTGACTTTTCATGCTGTCTCTAAAGGAATGAAAGATTTTTTCCAAGCACTAAGCTCACTTAGCTGATTGCTCCTTCCTGTGTTTCCAAAAAGGCCAAAGTAAATAACTCAGTCCTTCTTTTCACTGTAGACAAGCCATGATCTGCTTTTCTGTTCTCCATTTTTCATTTGGATGAAATAATAGCTGCATGAATCATGACAGCAGACAAGATAGAGGAGAGCAGGAGGCGGGGTTACCAATCTACTCGCTCTGGAGAGCAGAGTTCGCTGCTTTTAGATGTTGTCTCCAAAGTCTCCAGTAGCAGAAAAAAAGTCTCTAGATTTGGCGCTAGGAGCTTTTTAGAAATCAAAGTGCTAGAGGGGTCTGAAAAGTGGCTAAATATAGCGACTAAAGCGCTAAGTTGGCAACACTGCTCTTTGCATGGTTTGTTTTCAAATGGTTTGCTGCTGTCTGTTTGGACCTTTCTGAACATGTGCAGCAAATGGACTGATCCAATATGGTGGACACTGAAGGGGGGGGGGGGGGATGAGACACACTTAATATTATCAGTGTTCTGATGGCGTTTTTATCAAAAACATAATAATGTGCACAAATAAGCAATAGTTGTATTAACCATACATATAAACAGAGTTTTATGGGGCCTCCAGGAACTTGGGCCCCTAGGCAGCTGCCTAGTTTTGCCTGATGGTAAAATTCTCCCTGTTTTCAACATCTGACAAAGACTTTAATTCCTCTGATATCCTTGATGAGCCTCAAATGAAGCCACACGGTTCAAGAACTGAACGTCATCCTCTGCTTGTTTTCTGAAAATCAGGACTCCTTTCTTCCTGCTGCATCCTAACCCG